AAACATCTTCGTCCATTCACTTGATTCATGGTCAAGTTACAGTAAAATTACTACATGATAGCGCAGTATAAACCGTTGGGTTTGACCACTGATTTGTACACTGCGATTTGCTCTGGCGAAGACAAAGGAGGGAAAGGCATTTCCACGGGGTGTCATGTGAAAGGTGTGACAGTATATTATGATTACTTCTAACTCGACTGCGGTTGTACACGGCACTACTTTTGCAAGGAAAGGCAGCACTGGATATTCGATGGCATTACCTCTACGTTCGCATGCGCCAGATACAGTTTTGCCACCTCTACACTAAAACAGCACCATTTAACGACTAAGTTCGTCAGCATGCAAACGTCATTTTTGTTATACATGATCAAATGCTTAGTTTAATCTCTGAAACTTTTGGCCAACCAATGGTGTTTTGGAAATACACATAAAACGCATTCTAATTTAGTATCTTTTAAAATTCTGGTTAAATGATTTTTGAATTATTAAAAAACTTTATTTAGGCTAGAATGAAGTCTCATAATTTAAATTAAAAACTGAGTAGTGAACGATATATTTTTCCAGAAAAACTTTGCTACGAAAAACTATCTTAAACGTGAAAGAATTTTCTTCACAACTTTTGAACTTAGTAATTTAAATCTTCTGCAAACTAAACAGCAGAATTAAATTTTCCACAGTCAGTGCTTAGCCTTTCAAGCATAAGTGACGTAACACTGTCATAACAGTGATATATAACCATATGAACGTGAAACAAACTGAGAATGCAAATTATCGAGGTCGGTTAGGCACACACGTTCTAATTCTGCAGTAGTCACAGTCGCAATTACATCATCTTGCTACAGAAACGTATGACTACCCTACCTGTATCAGTCACTTTCAATGGCAGGCATATTAGAGACCGTGTTGAATGAGTCATGTTCTTCTCTAATGAATTTGAGGCCGGTGAGATAGGAGGAGTTTGCAACACACAGGAAAGGAAGAAGCATGTTATTACCTGTCAATAAACCTCTGGCTCTGCATCATGCTCTGCTTGACGGGGACAGCACAGCGCATACTTTGTTTAAGCATCTGTCTTACTGTATGATATACTGTACCGCGTACTAAGACCCTAGTTATGAAAAGCTGAAGCGAAATATTTTCTGGCTGACGGTCGTCACAACTGGAGATCTCAGAATGCATTAGAGGAATCTGAAATTAGCATCGTGACAGTGACGGAAATAGAACCCCAATTCTGTACGTTTGTCTAAATAACGCAGTGGCAAAAATGATTATCAGTACTCTGATTGGCTGGTTTTTTTCCGCCGTTGTAAAGCCCTGCTCCCAGTCGCTTTCCGAGCAACAAATATTTTTCATATGAGACATTTTACCAGCAGCTCTGAATCATACAGATTTGCTTGATTCATTCCCATGCAACATTATCTGCACAGAATTTCATCCCACTGTATCAAACATTTCACAATGCGGAATATTAAAAAATCCAAAAGTAATACAGCGAGCTCGCTAAGACATGCGGTCATAGCAGACACACCATTTCGCCAAATACACATCTTTATCAATAATGCAGTGCGGAAGATCTTTGTATGGGTTGATACGCGATACAGAGTCGAGGTCTACCAAGATCTCCTGTCCGTCTCTGACCACAACCGAAGCTTCGTAATGTGCATCAGCTGGCTCTGTTACAATGTTTACTTGATAGTGCTTATCGAGAGCCTTGGCGGTGCCACGCAAATCTGGCACGAAGCCGTCTAAATCCATCGTCTTCGTAAATTTCATCACTTCCTCACTGACCATTGCATCTGAAGCCTTGATTATCGTCGACAAGCTTAATTCTGCACAGAATTTTCTTGCTTTGGCAGTACGTTCGTTGATCCTGCTGACGACTGCCGCTGCAACGCGCTTCACAACCGGATCATCCACTGCCACATTAAACCAAGGGACACAGGCGCAGAAATGGGGTTCGATCCCTGCATCAGCGCACGATCGTTCAAGGGGGATTTCGTCGAACAATGAAATCCCTCTCTGCCATAGAGAGCCGCGTTTGGGATTGGTGAAATGGATCATGTGACGCAGGGTGGCGTGGATGTCGAAAGGTGTAGTGAGGCGCTTGGAATTCAAAAGGAGATTTTTTACAGCTTCTGGATATTTCTTCCTGAATGCTGGTGGCAGATAAATGCTAAAAAACGGAAGACGTTCTTCAACCTTGCCCTGCTCGGTTTGTCTGTAGTCTGCTGCTCGTTGGCCATGATCAGACATGAACATGAGTACTGTATTTTCCAAGTAGCCTTTGTCTGAAAGGGTGCAAATTTTTATGTGGTCGTGCGTTTAAAGCAGTTTAAAAGTGCAGCAGTTGAAACAAATTTGACGTCGTGAAAATGAAGAATGGAAGGCCTTTAGACAGGACATAACTCTGTTATAAAGGGTCAAATTTTGGCTACAGTTTATAGCCCTCTTCAATCAAGTGATGGAATCGAAAACTGTTTGATTTTTGTATACACTGGGCTACGTAATTATCATGAACTACGATTTAAATAAAGACATGCATTAAATAGCTAAATAGTGAGCCGTGTTTCAATAAATAAGGTTACAAATGGCAGCAGATATTTACCTTGAAAATGATTATGAATGTAACTTTGGAAAATAATGCACTCGTGTTAGTATGACATCATTCATAAATTATCTGATTATATGCCAATGGTTCAACTAACATCAACCAATGGTGATGGCCTTCCAATCTTTCGCCATTGCACATGAATTTTTGTCATACCTAATCAAGCGGCGATCAGTGCTGAGCATGAAGACTGTTCTTTTGTGGTTTTCCTTTTGCATTTGTCACGGTTCTTGGTGGCTCAGTTGCTATCCTAACAAAATACTAATGCTTTTTCCATGTCTTCTGACAACAAAGAGTTATGGTTCTCCGCTGCCGGTCTCGAGTGCAACAGTGTAGGAGATGTGAAGACTAGAAGGTCGCTGTTTCCACACAACCCTGTTTCATTAGCATTTTCTGAAGCTCATCTCTATGTTTCTCCAGAGAGGTTCGCGGCCGAGTGCGTCGTGGCCGGCATGCCTGATAACATGTCTCAAACGTAAAGCCTAATGCTTCCTCGTTCTCCTGACTGTTGCAGGGAAGTTGAAGTACCTCGGGGTGGCATGTAATGGTGATGGGAAGCTCGTGGAAGAGATCGACGGCGGATTGAAGTAACCAGTGGCATTCTGCGTGCACTAAACCGGACCATTGTGACTAAAGCAGAGCTAAGTCTGAAGACATGGACTACATAGGCTCTAGATATTCAAATCGATCTTCATCCCCTCCCATGCTTACCTCCTGTAATGAGTCATAGACCGTGCCTGAAAAACTTCGATCTGGGGTACAATCGTCTGAAATGGGCTTTCTGAAACGAGTCGCTGGTCTTGGGGGGAATCGACTTGGTTCAGAATACTGAAATCCGTGAAAGCCTTTTTATTCAGTGGCTGCTTCTTCAGACTGAGAAGCCACAGCTGCGGTGGCTTGGGCACGTGTTGCGACTGCCCCCCCCCAAAGAAAAACTAAGCAACCTTCCTTGTCCAGCCCACCGGCAGAAGTCTGAAGGTAAAGCAAAGTTTAACCTTCGGTAGGTATATGAAAGGAATCTGCTGTGACTTCCGTTTGTTTTCTCCCGTAGCTCAGACCTGGTGTAGGATCAGGAACGTTGGAAGCACTGTCTGACTCGTCTGCCTGTGCGACTGTAAAGGAGAAGCGCTCATGGAAGATGATTATGAAAATGATTAGAAATAATTTGAGTCAGTCTAGATAAGATGCTACTCTGTGATTTTGTTGACGCATTGTGACTCTTTAAGAAAGTTCTACGTAATTACCCATTTTGGAATAGACGCCGCACACAGAATCGTCCTAAAATTCATCACAGATGGTAATGGTGCCGAGCAGAAGAAAGTATTTCATGCATCCCTTGCAATATGCAGCTACTGAAGTACATGAATGACAAGTTATACAGAAAATCTGCTTCACTTATGAATCACCGCTGCCTTAAGTCAAGATCATGACTGCGGTATATTTGACATGAAAATTATGATTTTAAATGGACCCGTAAAATCGACTTTTTCCGCAAGGGTACAGGGCAGATGACCTATGGTTACATCAGACAACAGAATACTCTAGTGTACAATGCGTTTAGAAGTATTACAGTATGAACACTAGCACAGACGTCAGATGTCCAGAGCATCAATACCCACGGAGGCCTTGGAATTTACAGTACCAAGCGAATGCCTGGATTATCAAAATCCGTGTATCTACTAATGATCGAATAGACTGATGTGTGAACTAAAGTAGTAAGAAGTGGATGAATGGCGAAACGACAAATCATGGCATCAGTGGATGATTAAAGCCATCAACTAAGTGATGCCATTTGTTGAAACAGTGAAAGATTACAGAATCCCTTTTTCTCATAGCCGCGTAAGAAATAAACAAACCTGTAAGTAATATGTTTCGTACAGAGTATCATGCCCATTACAGTCAAATGCGCTGATACTTAGGCACTGAAAGTTTCATTAATCAAGAAATGAGTTAGATTTTAATAAAATCTTACCTAGCAAAAATTTCAATAGCTGAACCATGTCATCGTCGGCATTTTGAATATCATTGATATTTTCATGGCTGATAACAGAATGAAAGGAGAACGCAAACGCCAGGAGGTCTTTGTCTTTGAGGTAAGAGGTGACGAAGTTTTGAAAATATGCAAAATGCGTTTTGTGATGGGGCTCATTGCCGACACAGTATCGTTTACATCTATAACGTTTAATTTTTTCCATCAAGTAAAACGTTCGTTGATAGTGATCCGTTGGCTGCTCGTCGAATCCATTCAAACGGTATGCGAAGGCGCCAAAGGCAGGCTCGTCTTCACCAAAAAGTGTGATATAGCCAATGTTCTTGAAATCGTTCCATATAAGTGGATAAACGTTAACGAAGTTAGAGTTCTTCTGTCCTATTCGGGTTTCAGGAAGCTCAGTTTCTTTGCTTCCGGTGAGAAGTGCGACCAAAGCCTTTGTTGTTCCGTCTCCAACGATGTTGTAGCCTTCCAAGACGATCGCCTGAAGGTCATCAGTGAGAAATTTGTACGCTTTCTTTAGTTTTCTCATGAACATCATCCTCGACATACTGTCAAATCCCAAGATGAAAACGTTCATTCCCAACGCGTCGCTCGGCAGACCCTTGGACTTTGCTCGCAGTATCGTCTGTTCGTTTCGAACAATGCCCGCATGAATATTTTTATACCTGGAACCATCAGAAGCCTTACAATCGACGGCGAAGAATTCGCTGGGAATCCTTTGGTCTGAGGCAAAATAAGCAAGTTTTCGTGACCACGTTCTGTAGTCAGAAACGCGCTCGAAAGATTCGATGGAACAGCTGATGGCACCATGTTTCTTCTGCACTTCTGGATCAATCATGAAGATATCGCCATCTTTCACATAGACCCAGTTCTTTTCAGAACTACAGTTAAGAGGTGCGACAGGCTGAGAGAATTTGCCAACTATTGGATCATCGAGCATTAGAACTGGCATGCTGCATTTCGCTTCAGGCACAGGTGACGTTTCAGATTTAAATGCATCATCTGAGAACCATGAATTTAACTGCCATGGCATTAAGACCGTAAACAGACATAGCGTGAGTAAATACACTGAACGCTTAAGACGAAAACTGCTAAGAGGTACATAATGCAGTGTACTCGCAATTCTCCCGGATGATCGCTTCATTGTCCCCAAAAACTAGGAGAGACAAACTCAGCGAAATGCTACTTTAAATGAGCACTTTCTAGGAAGCCCGAAATTGATCAGTTCTTCTCACTTTAAATCACGTCTGTTACCAAATTCTTAAACCTCTTGACGAGAGGCCGATTACTTTTTAGTCGTTGTAAAGCAGATCATAACAGACTCATGCGCAACTGTCAATTCAATCATTTCACAGATTTGCACATTGTCAACTTTTCACGTTTAACCCAATTCAATTCTATACAACACAGTTCAGTAAGCTTACGCTGTTCTTTTGGTTTTGAGTTTCGCTCCTGATCGTTACCGCGGACTGGACAACGAATTACGTGTGCATAACATTGAGGATATGTTACAACGCGAATCCGTTTCGCCAATTTCATTCATTTTTCCACAGCCATAATCACCTTTTATCGACTCACTGCTGCATGACAGTCTTTCCATGACTTCGTTATGAACTTCTGCTCCACTGTCGATTGCTCGGGGTTTCTACGGACCGTACATTCTCGCTTGAAAACGAATCTAACCACTCACTGGTCCAGCGGTTGTTGGCTGTTCTTGTCGCGTGCCCTGCACGTTGTAGCTTCAACTGCTTCACTCCTCCAATGGAATCACAGCCTCTTGTCTATGCTCCCACCCATTCGTTCATCTTCCTGCTTTTCTCGTTATTCTTAGTACGCATCTATCCCTGTTGCGTTGCTTAGAAAGCTTCTAATGAACAGTTCTCCGCTTTAAGGCATACTGTCATTCATTTTACAATATACATTTTAAAATATCGCAGAATCAGTTAGAGTTCTGTATCGTGGAAAGATATGGCTAATATTATGAAATTAAATTTGACTCGTAATGTATTCCATTCAAAAACAGTCATTTAACTTTTGCATGGTGCTTAAAAAAGTCCTGGGTATGTTGCAACTCACTTCCGTTTTTTGACTGACTCTTTGTTAGTCAGTATCAGGCATTTATTGCGGTGGTAAGGAAGTTAGAAGCGAAATATTTTGGTGCCTTGTCTTCTTAAGCACGCAAGTACAGTGCCCTATTTTTAAAAAAAAATCTGCTTGCGTATTGTTTTCATTTCGCTACCCGTATGAACCGTTCTCTTCCTGCATTTTTATGTTCAGATAGGCAGTAAACGCCAGCTTTCTCTTTACTGACAGGGCTATGTGGTATTCACAGCGGCCCTAGAAGAGGCTTTCGAGAAACTAAGTGATGAAAATCAAGGCATGTCGATGAATGGAGACGACTTATGCCTTCTGTGTTTGGCGAACAATATTCTGATTCTCTCAATGGCAGCAGAACAACTCCAAAGAAAAATCCAAGAGCTGAACAGTAGCAGTAAAAGTGCACCTTAAGAAGAGGTTGGTCAAGATTTGGTAAATGTGTGAACGACCTTCTGAAACCAGTGAATAGATTCTTGTAAAACCGGAAACTCG